GGAACTTCGGTTGCCAGTGGACCTGATAACAGGACGCCCACCTTACGAAGAGTTGCTTGAAAATGTGCCAGAGTTTGTGAAAGTGTTATCTGAAAGGATGGATGATATTCATCATCAAGTGCGTTCGAACTTGAAAATTTCTGATGATTCCATGAAGCTATGTTGTGATAAGAGATCTACTGAAGTCAGCTTTCTACCAAGAGACAAGGTGTGGTTGTATACTCCCAGGAAGACCAAAGGGAAGTCTCCTAAGTTGTCTTCTCCATGGGAAGGCTTATATGACATAGTGGATCGTCTCTCAGACGTGACTTTCCAAATAAAATGTGGTCGGCAAGGTTAGCCAAAGGTGGTGCATGCCAGCAGGCTTTGGTGTTATCACGATCCAGGACATTTAAGCTGGAAAAGCCACTGTTGAAGAAGAAACTCTACCTGGTTTTGAGAAGGAAAACAGTGAAGCCATTAATGAAGTTACTACCACTGATGTGACTGCTACCAATAATGGGACATTTCCTGATGGAGCAGATGAACCCCATGTGAAGCAGAAGCCAATGAGACGGAGGAAGATACATCCTGTAAAATTAAGAGACTTTGTTGTGTTTTAATTTTGGGTTTGTAAATTCTGTACATTTAATTAAGTTATTGTTAATTATCTATTGGTTAAATGTAAGTGGCTGTTGTTCAGGATGAACAATACTAAGGAAGGGGCAGTGTTATGACACCAGAAGTCACGTGATGTTGATTGCATGTGCACTGGAGTTTCAGAAATTGCAAATCTAGTCTGATCGAGCTGCCCTCTTTTTTTAATATATAAGCCTGGCGAGAAAAACCAGTGGTGCAGATAAATGGAGATAGATATTTGAGTCAAGCAAACAGTAGGCACCGTAGTAAGTAAAGTGTGTGAATCACTGATTTATAGCATGTGTTATAAAGGTTGTTAAGATTAAAGTGACTGTGGAAATTCTGTGTATTACAAAACTTTGTATCGAGAAAGAATAAACTGGTTTAATCAAGAATGGACTTGTATCACTGAAGTTCCTCGGAAAGAATTTCTACTGGAAATTATCAAACAAGCAGATACGTAACAGTATTGTTGCAACAGGTGACAGATAAGTGAATAAATCTTTTAGTGTTTCTAAATGTTAAAAAATGCAGTTGCTTTGCATGTATGGTTCATTTTCATTTACAAAGTTTAGGATTGAAGGAGTTACCTAATTTAAATAATTGTTTTTGAAGTCTGAAAACATGGTTTCCTCTGGCTTTTTCATGTTTTTCGACACTTAATAAAAATTTTTGAGACACATATTTAAAGTCAATTTTATACATTAATTCTAATTATAGTTCAATAATTTCAACAGAAAATTATTTTATAATTAACTTTTTTTCATTTTCTGACATTTATTTAGTGTAATTTATGAAGAAAAGGTGTTTTAAAAAGTTCATATTTTCATTTGACAGATGTAAAGAATTTTGCAGGTAAACAAAACAATTCACTTGTTGGCTTTTTTATATTTTTCCTACCATCCTAAAGAATAATTATTTTATTAAAAATAATTCACCCATCAAGAATTTTTTATCCATTTCCTGATTTTTCAAGCATTTCCCTTAGTTTTTGTATAGGCTTTGGTTGAAACCTTTCTATGGTGCCACATCAGCTTTGAAAACAGCTATAAAGAAAGTTTAGGTATTACTGGATAGAGTAAAAAATAGACTATCATGTAAAAGTAGAGTAGATAAATAGTTTTAAGAGATTTTTTTATAGTTTCTATAAATGTTCCTTTCATTTGTGAATTGTAAAAGTATTAGTGTGTTAAGTTATATTTGTTTGAAAGCTATAGAAGTTTTTTACAGTGAGAAGACCACAAATATGTTGAGATAAGGTAAGGTTATGCAGTTCAAACTCAGACTGATTGGGTAACAAGCAAAACTTTATGACAAGTTAAAGACAATAACAAATTTACAATGTTGGGAGAAAGTTTTGTCATTGTCAGGTACAAGTAATCTTATTATAATGGAGCTTGCGATCATCACCAATCATAACTGGGTAATATTTTTATAATTAGGCAGTATTTTTTATAGCTGAGCAATAAATAAAACAATTGAAATTTCCGCAAAAATGATATGTTTCAGATTTAACCAATAAAAATTACAAAAAAGGAGTAAGTTTCAAATATAGAACAATAAAAAAAAAAGTTAAAAGAAAAATTATTTGTTTTTCTTTAGTGAAAATTTCATGAGTGTTGAAATAGAAAAGCAAGGCACATTCATTGATAACTGCGTCTATAAAGAAATACTTCAATGAAATCAATAAATCCTTTTTCTCATGGATGGTGAACACTACTGAATGTCAAGTATGAGTACATTGTTGTAGAACTGTCAGACAATTACAGAAAAGGTCTCAGGCTCAATAGCCTTCTGCAGGAACTAGCAGTTATATCTGCCTGGAGAGGAGGTATTTCTACTAGTCTATATAAATATACAGAAATACATATACAGTGAAAAAATGGTCATGTGACTAAAGATTTCTTAAGGCTTAATAAAGGTATCTTCTTGATGTTTGGTTCTTTGTTTAAAATTTTGGTATTTTTACTTTTTAATAGATGTACTATTGTTTTATTGAGTTGCAATGTTTCTAAACATGATGTTATTTTATTATTTTCACCAAATAAAATAAAATCATCATCAAAAAAGATAAGTTTAGTTAAATATTTTGTGAGTATGTTAGGCAACTGCAAAAAATTTTGATGACCAAGATTTTCATTGAATGTTAATTTTATGTTTATCTTATTTAAACAACATATGTAAATAAATTGGGTGATTATTGCAATCGTAATGTATATATATATCTTTTGGATAAAAACATCATTACCATTTTGAAGACGCATGTTAGTGTGTTGTGAGGCCAAGTGTTATTAACAAGAGTGATAGTTTAGCAATTTTCCACTTTCTGTAGCTTGGACTGTAGTAATCCAAACTATCACATATTTTCAGTGGATGTGCTCTACTGGACCCTTATTTCACATACCAAATTTCATGACAATCCATTAAGATATACACGAGATATTAAATCTCCAATATTGATTGAATTTCTTCCTAATTGTTTTTCTTCTCACCAAAAGTGCGGAAACTTTATTTGATAGAAAAACATACTCAACTTTTATGGATTTTTTTTCAAATTTGGTACACTAATAGATCTTTACAATCTACAGTTATTTAGATGTCAAATTTGGTCTAAATAAAAGCCACATGTGCAAAGTTATTCAACAAAAACTGCTCAATTTGGAACAAAAGCTTTGTGCATGCCTATGCAAAAAGTTACATGAACTGTCAGTCTGAAATTGTTACTACAGCTTCTCCTAAGAGTAAAAGTGGACCATTTTTTAGTTTTTTTGTCATTTGGATTAAATACAGCTGATTTAAAGCAGCAAAATTATAGGGTGGAAGCATGTGCAGATAAATAAGTATTGTTTAGGCAAAGCAAACTAGATTAATAGTTTCTAGCTCAAGTTTTCAATAGAATCATATGGGTGGATGATTATTATTCATTACCAACTTTTAAGTGCAAATTTTCTACATTTTATGAAATTCCCCTAATTAAAGAGCATTTAGTGTCACATGATATTAGCATAAATAATGATGTTTGATATGGCTGTACCAAGTGCATGCGGGTGATGACAAGAAACTGTTAATCTAGTTTCTATAGCATTACTATAGAGGAAGTTATTAACATTGTTTTAGATGGGAAAACTACCACTATATATTTTATAGAATCTGGTTGGTTCTGTAAAGTAAAGGTTTGTTCCGATTAATAGTGTTGCTATCCTAAAGCTAATGTTTGTTACTGCCGAGTGTCACTTTCTTACTTGCTGTGGTTTTTGGTGTATATTGACAAAATGTTATGATATCTAATCAAAAACACTAGGTGGAAAAAAAAGGTGTGGCCAAAAAAGGATTGAGCATGCAACTTAAAGGAATTAAATCAAAATTGGCAGCCAAAGTAGTAGCTTCACTTATAGCACTGATAAGAATTTTATAGAAAATATTAATTCATTAGTTAACCAGGCAGCAGTTTTTGTTCAACTTGGGGCATGATGGTGTGTAAAACAAAATATGCAGCCTAGCTAACTAATGAATTAATATTTTCTGTAAAATTCTTATCAATGCTATAATTTAAGCTACCAGTTTGTTTGCGAATTTTGATTTCATTCTTTTAAGTTGCATGCTTAATCTGTTTTTGGCTGCACCTTTTTTCACACCTAAGGTGTTTTTGATTAGATTGATGATAGTTAAACATATTTAATTATAGAATTATCAATTTATTTGACTTACAGACGATTAGTGGAGGATTATTGGATATTTTAAAAACATACGTAATGGCAACTGCATATTGATATTTAGTCAAGATTAGTAATGCGTAGACAAAATATGTTTTTGCGATATGTGCAAATGGCAATCTTCAGAAGAGATTTATCATGTGAAACCAAAGTTAATTTGAAAACTACTTAAAATAAACAAGTTAAATGAAAATAGAACAGTTAACACCATAATAGAATAATGCAGTAGTTAAAAAGAGCTATACATTTAGCTCCACCCTTTTTTCAAAAGTTTGCAGTGGGAAGGGGGCATACTAATTGATTTAATGAGCCCATCAATTAATTGGTTAGTAAATACCACTAGCCATTTCTAGTGGTGGGGTCTATATAATGTATATATAGTTTTAAGGAACAGAGATATATGTTTTAACTAGAGTTCATTGTAGTACATATAGCTCTTTATAAAGTACAACTCACATAAGCAATCATCCTTAGTGATGCTTACTTTTTTACTTGTTGTATTCTATTATTTCACTATCATAATTTATGTTTCTAATTTACTTTAGTTTTTAAAAATCATCAAGCTAAGTAATACATGAATTGACAGCATGTTGAAGGTATTAATTTCATTTATACATATATAATGTAACCTGGTGGCTGTACTGATTCAGTATAACTTTTTATTTACAGTTGCTTGTGTCACTGCAGTGCAGTTGCTCAAGGCTACTTTGGATCAGTTTCTGGTATGGAGTAGACAGAAACTGGAGGCAACTTTGACTTCATGGAAAGTTTGTGAATATCTTCTTATCGGATGCTCTGATATAAAAGTTAGTAGTACTGTTTATGTGGGTGTGTTCATTATTACATGGTGGTAGATTGTTAGTATATAAGCTTTCTTTTTAATATGTTTACCCAAATTTATACTTCTAGTGATATTTTATGTGATAATAAGATTTAATTTAGGAAAATTATGTATGGTACATAAAAGTAAAAAAACAAAACAAGAATCGTATAAGTACCTGACAAAAACTTCAAAACTTAATAATTCTTTTTGTTGTATCTAACTAATACTGAAATTCATGCTGGCACTATGATTTTTTGGTTAAATTTACAATAATACCTAGATTCTTGTGGCATAATGTCTTTATATTTCATTTATATCTTTTCCTATGTTTTCCAAACTTGCATTCTGAGAAAGAGGTTTGTTATGATTAAGAAGAATGTGATTTAGGACAACACTCCTCCAATTCCGACATTACTAGCATCACAATCCAGTATGTATGGCAGTGAGGGATCTGGAAGCTTTAAAAGTGGAGTGGAGGCCAATTTTTCTTTCAGTTTCTTGAAAGCATACTGGCAAGAAACTGTCCATTCAAACTTCTGGCTTTTTTTAGTCAAATCATGTAGTGGAGCAGCTATAGTTGCAAAGTCCTTCACAAACTTCCGGGAATAGGTGTAGAGTCCCATGAAACTTCTTAACTCTCCCACATTGTCTGGTGTTGGCCAATCATGCACTGCTTTCACCTTGTCAGGATCAGTTTGCACACCATGCTCACGTACAATGTGACCTAAGTACAGCACCTCTTTCTGGAACAAGTGGCATTTCTTGGGATGGAGTTTGAGGTTTGCTGCTTTCAAACACTTGAATATTTCCTCTAGCCAGGACATTTCCTTATCAAAAGTTGTTGCAAATACAATGACATCATCCAGGTAGGCTAGGGCTATCCTCCATTGTAGGCCTTTCCATCAGCCTCTCAAATGTTGCTGGAGCATTGCTAAGCCCAAATGGCATCACGCGATATTGCCAGAGACCTTGACCATAACTAAATGCAGTCTCAGGTTTATCTGCTTCAGCTATTTTTACTTGATGGAAACCTGACTTTAAGTCCAGAGTTGAAAACCACCTGG